GTCCAGAAGTCAAAGAATTTGAAGGGCTTAGGAAGAGTTTTCTGCCCTGGCTTTGTAGCCACAAGAACACCACAATGATCCCTGAAAACAGCTGGAATAAGCTCTACCCTACAGTCAAGAAACTTGTCAAACCAGCTTTCATTAACCAAAGCCCTATCCAATTTCCTTGCGATTGGATTTTCCACTTGCTTGTTAGTCCATGTGAATTGAGGCCCTACCGCTCTATGATCAAATAGCTCCATATTAGCCACCCAATTACCAAAATCAGCCATACAACTAGTAGTGTCTCTGAGGTTTGAAGTCTCCTCAGGTTTTAAAACAGCATTAAAATCCCCACCCACCAGCCAGGGTAACCCACACACCTTAATCTGAGACAGTTCCAAGTAAGTTGCCCTTCTTTCCACTTCATCATTCGATGCATAAACCGTCGTGAAGAACAACGACTCCCCAGCACCATCGTAGCAAGACAGTGCACAAAATTCCTTTTAGGTAACAAGATACTAACTGTAACCACTTCCGGATCCCAGAATAACCATACTCTCCCCAACTCAGAATCTACATAGTTCAGATACTTCTTCCAATCTTGACAAAAATCACTTGCTATCTCATCTGCTTTACCCTTTTTCACTCTCGTTTCCAGGATTGCTACTACATCTACTCTATACTTTCGAAGGACATTCAACATGTCCTTCCTTTTAGAGGGCTTATTAAACCCCCTTACATTCCAAAAAAGGATAATCATAGGGGAGAAGAGGGCTGAGGCCGCCCTGATTTCTTCCCACCTTTCTTTGGGGCACCCTGAAGTTGCACCACCCTTTCCTCTTGTAGACCCTCAAGAGCCAAAAAAAGCCTGAGAAGTGGACAAGACACTAGTAGGGCTGCCCATAGGTGACCACCGAGGCCTTGCACCATTTACAACCTTTTGAAATTCCACATCAGATGGAAGTTTGGGCGAAGAGAGCTCAGACACCTGCTGAAAGGATGCCTCCAAATTGACCCCTTGAGGACCAGCTGCCACAACCACTCTATTCGACCCAATAAGCATATCAAAATTGGTATCCTCCCTCACATCATCTACCAAAACTGCCTTACCCTTATTTTGAACCGACCCAGCAGGCGTCACAGGATCAAGAACTTCCACCCTAGCCTCAGGCTCTGTCGCCACAACCTGTTGGTGCCCCTCATCAACCTTCCGTACCCATACCTGTTGCCCCCCAGTACAACCACAATCCAGCCCAAAGTTCTTGCATATTTGGCAGACCGGGGGGAGATGACTATAGGTCACCCCCACCCTGATTGAAACCTCATCCGTCGGCCAAATCAGTATGTGGTCCTGGAAATCTCCATCAGCGCGAAGCTCCACTAGGATTTTCGCGAAACCCAGTCTCCCTCCTACCCTAGTAGTCTGATCCACACCCAAAGGAACCCCCAACCAACTTGCAGTTTTGCTGAGTCCCTTGAAGTTCACGTACTCGAGAGGGAGATTCGAGAAACGTACCCAAATCGGGAGAGCCTTACGACCCAGGTCTGCAACATCAATCCTGGGCTTCCAAGGACGAAGATACAGCAGATTATCCCGGTAGAACCATGGACCACTCTCCAAAATCCAATCACAGGTAGCTTGCGAAGGGAGCTGGATCAGGAGGAGTTGATCTCCCAGTAGAGAAACTCGCACAGGACCATCCCTGCCCCACATACGATTCGCCCACCACCTGAGCTCCGCCAGAGCAGGGAAAGGATGAAGGAACTGACCCACCAAGCTATGCTTCCAGCGAGCAGCCCCGTCCTCACTTACCTCCTCCGGCATACGAAGCCCACCCTTATAAACCTCCGGCTTCATGTAACAGAGACGTTAGCTTCAGAAATCCCAAAGAGTTCTGCTCAAGGCTTCAGAGGAACCCCTTGGACAGAGGTGCTCCCGGACGCCATGAAACACACCGCTCCCAACAAAGAACTCGAGAGACTGATCGAGGATGAAGCAGGCACCGGCGCAGATGCCGGCGCGGCTAGCCCAGCCCTAATCGGAAACCAGACTCGCCCAAATTTGGGAGCGTTTTCCCTCTCTACTTTCTCACTCTTAATCCCTATTTCCCTTTGGAAAGACCTTGGGCTTTTCTTTTAAGCTCATCCTTCTGGAATTTGACCTTGGTTCAGGCTCATGCATATAAGCTACCTTAAATAGTTGAAAGATGAGAGTTTTAAATTTTATTTAAGATGAATATATAATTTTAAAAAGATCAAAATTGGGAAAATACAAATAAACATTTGTGCAAATTATGATAAAATATATAAGAACAGAACGAGAAGCAGAAATAATATCCATGCCTGGCTCACGCTACCGCTAGTCACGTAATATCCATCCCAAACAAGTCGGAACAAGTCAAATCAAACAAGCCAAATCAAAAATTGCCACCACTACGTTGAAGACATCTTACCTGAAATCTTCATCAAGTTAACTAGCTTAAACCTTGCCCTTTGGGCAGGTGATCCTATTTTATTTATTTCCCATTTAGGTAATTCTTTTATTTTGTGGTGTTTAAGTCTATGTTTTACGCATATTTAGTAGAACTAAATATTTTTCATTAATATTGATTAATTATCTTAGTGATTTTTTACTTTTCATTTAAAATATTATAAATTGAGTCAACATAATATTACTGTCATAGTTTAAACTTTTGTACTATATATGACCATATCATAGTAGTTGTAAATGAATCTAGAGATATCAATTTTGACATGAATCTAGAGATATCAATTTTGACGTGGCATGTCCAACCCAACTTGTTTGACATGTTTTGGAGTGGTAATACTCGTCTTTTAGGTGGGACGGGGCCGCTATAAGTACTCTCCTCGACCTGACCCGCCATTCTCAACTCGTTTTGCCTAAATTTTATGTAATTTTATCAAATTATTACGATTTTATTTTTATTACATCGTGACTTGCCTATAATAAAGTGTACAAAACTCAAATTTTGAGTAATTTAACTGAATGTATCATGTCATAGTTATTTATCGACTTATTAATGAAAAAATTATTATTTGAAGCATTTTTATTTATATTACCTGTTCATATGGGTCAACCTGACCCGACCCACACTCGAAGACAAAATACCTAATATGTACCCAACCTGCTCATTATCGTTCCTAAATGCATCGCGATAATTAAATCATATACATAGTTTGCTAGTTCAATAAACTTCTATAACATTCGTTTCTATACATACTTTGCTAGTTCAATAAACTTCTATAACATTTGTTTCTATACACACTTTGCTAATTCATTAAACTTCTATTACATTCGTTTCTAACACCAAATTATCTTTTGTATACAATATTTCATCATTAATTTTTATTATTTTACGGTAGAATGCTTTGAATTAAAAAGAAGTATTTTCAATAAGAATAGAAAAGTTCACAAGATCCTCTTATATTCCCATACTACTCGACTGCCATTTCAATTACTTTGTCTATTTTTCACTATGCTTCTTTTGCATTCCTCTCCTTTACGGTAAATCTTGAGTTTAGTAGGTTATAGTTAGCGATCTTAGATCTCATCGATGTGATTTAATTACAATTGTGGATATACGGTGTGATATAAATTAGAAATTGGGTGATGAACGGTGGAGGGGGAAAACCCATTCGGCAGGGTGAAAGGGATGGTGCGGAATCAGATTCCGGGGAGAGATGTGATGGTGTTAAAATAGAAGAAGCGGTGGAATATTTATCTAGGTTATTCAGGAAAAAGAGAATAGAACTAAGCGTTTAGAGTTGGGGGAGCGGGAAATAGCGAGGCTGACGTGGCCGTGTGAGGGGCATGTAAATAGGGATGGCAATGGGGCGGGTTTGGGGCGGGTTTGCTTAAACCATCCCCATACCCATCTTCAAATACCCAAACCCATACCCGCCCCATACCCATGTGGGGGAATGTTTTGCAAACCCATCCCCATACCCGTGGGTTTCGGGTACCCATGGGTAATACCCATACCCGTACATCCAACATTATTATACCTAAAACTTACAAGAAAAGTTCTAATTATAATTCTAAACGAACATATTATATCATGAAGTCAATAAAACACGGTCATTTTTTAATATGGTTCAAAGATTATGATCCTAAAATCACCATTAATACATAATATAGAGTATAATATTTTTCAAATTATTATGTTCTAACTCTGATATATCTACTAAATAACAATTAACTAACATAATCTTGTTGACAAGGGGGAAAGTGAAAGAGTGAAATGAAAATTGAGAGAAATGAATTAGATTTTGATTAAGGTGGTCAATCAATTGCATTTCTACTATTTGTTTTCTTAAGTTATCCTCATCATCATTGATAGATTATAATTTGATGCACATATTTTTTTTATATATGAAGAAATTATCTCGGTGGGGCGGGTATGGGGATGGGTATGGGGCGGGGGAGGCTAAAACCATACCCGCCCCATACCCATCAAACTTTTTGCGGGTTTTACCCATATCCGCCCCATACCCGGTCAAAGCGGGGATTCCCCGCGTTGACTGGGTCGGGGGCGGTCGGATACCCGCGGTCATGGATTTGATTGCCATCCCTACATGTAAAGCGTAGAGGCAGGGGTTCTAAAATCAAAGTGCTTTAATTTATCTTCTATAATAATATATTTAAAGCAGATTCATGGGTTGCAATTAGGGCTGGCATAACGGTTTTCGGTTAGCAGTTAACCTGTCGGTTTTGATCGAACCGATCGGTTTTCAGATAACCAAAAACCGTCCTCAAGTATTAGCGGTCGGTTGTCGGAATAGAGGGGAAGATGCTCTGCTAGCCGATTAACCTTGGTCGGAAACCGGTGGTTAACCGGCTAACCGAACTCCTCCCCTTTAGTACAAAACGACCCTGCATCCTCGCCCAAACCGACCCCTCCCAAACCAACCCCACCCAAAACGACCCCGCTCCAACCCCACCCAAAATCCAAAACGACCCCCTGCCTATGAGATGGAAACCCTAATCCCAATCCCCACTCCCCCCGCCACCCCCAACCCTTTCTCGCGCAGCCACGGCGAACACCTGATGGACATCTCCACGGCCCTGCTCCTCCTCTCCTTAGTCACCGCCTACCTCCTCTGGTTCACCTTCATCTCCCGCTCCCTCTGCGGCCCCCGTGTCTGGCCGCTCCTCGGCAGCCTCCCGGGCCTCATCAAGAACTGCGAGCGCCTCCACGAATGGATCTCCGACAACCTCCGCGCCAGCAGAGGCACATGTCAGACCTGCATCTGCGCGGTTCCGTTCCTCGCCAAGAAGCAAGGGCTCGTGACCCCATCGCCAATCCCCTTACCCAGTTCCGCCGCCGTTCCCCTCCTCCACCCAGCCACTCCCCTACTCCGGCGGCGATTGTTGGAAAGAAGAAGCTAGATCTCTTCGATCTAGTCTAGAGATGCAGCCATTCAGCCAGATCTCTAGATCGATTCTGAATATAGGGATTAGTGGGTGCAGCGGGAGGATTGTAGCGAGTTGAGGGATAATAGATCGGAGGAGATAAGAGCTCTCGCTGCCGCTGTCCTTCCTCCTTCTCCTCCTTCTTGGTAGCAGTGGCCGGATTGGTGGGTGCGGTGGGAGGGATGAGGAGATGAGATGAGAAGAGATGGGCACTGGGTTTTGAGTTTTTCCCCTTTTATTTCGGCAGTAGGTGAATCGAGGGTTTAACCGAAAACCGGTCAATTGGCCAGCGGCTAACCGTGGCATGACGGGTAGTCGGTGGTCGGTAGTTGTCAGCGTCGTCTCGGTTTAACTGATAACTGAGTAATCGGTTTTCGGTTAAACCGAAACCGACCGACTGATAGCCCTAGTTGCATTGCTCTATTTCAAATTTCGTGACCCAAGAGTAGAGGTGTCAATCGGGTTGGGTTCAATCGGGTTGCGGGTTGATCAGGTTGCGGATCACTCAGGTTGCGGGTCAATCGGGATGCGGGTCAATGGGGCTACGGGCCAATCGGGTCACGGGTGTTACACCCCGCTCTTACCAAAAGTCAAAATGACTATTATACCCTTGAATAAATTTGTCAAGTTCCACCGTAATGTCGAGGAGGACTTAAAAATGTGAACTATCGGTTCAAGCGGTGTCGAATTTCGACATAAAATGAGAAAGTTACGGACATTAATTGAGTTTCGGATTAAACTCACCGCAAGTGTTAATTTCCACATATAACCTTGGACTAACAAAAATCCTAGAATTTTATTCTACCCCACTCGACTCCATCGATAACACAGGAAAAAGGTCCACAAAATGGATCCGCTTCGCCAACACAGAGGATCGAGGGTTCCTCCCTTCCGGATCTCTCTCCGCCAAATCACCTTCCTCCCCTCTCCATCCCACTTCTCTCTCGCCGATCATCGTTGCGATAGGACGGATTTGATTTCCGGTTGACAGCGACGGAAGGGGAAGGAGTCACTGAAGTCGGAAAAGTGTCGTGGTTGGTTTCTGTAAATATGAGAGGATCAGAAAAATCGAGAAGGGATACTTGGGCGTGGGATGTTAATCTTTGTCAGGTGCGGCTATGTTCTAACGGAAGAATCTCTTTCACAAGTTGGAGGAGTAACCGGCCAAGATCACCTTCAAGCGAAGGCCTCGTGGGTGTCCCATTCCACCGGGACAGCTAGTGATGATGTTCTCCCTCCTGGGTTTGAGCTAGCCCAGTCTTCGAACCAATCACAAATCAAAGCATCAGATGTTCCTGTCATCAAATGAAGCGTGTGATGTCGATGATGAAGTTGAAGAAGAAAACAGATACTTACCACCAGCGGCTGAGGTTTCGCTCTGTCCAGTAATTCCTTCTTATCTAGCAACGCATATGATTAAATCACTATGACTAGCTCAAAGCCTAAAACGTGGTACAAGAAAGACAAGCATCATTCCTTTCCAAGTGTAATACGATCCACAAAATAGACGTGTGGATGCTATCCAAAACAACATGTGGCCTTGTCTTTTATGGGTATGCCCAAGTTGGGTTATTTGGTGGAGCAGCTTGCTTCCACACCCGAGAGCTGCTGCTTAATGGTAGAAGATTGCATGGAGTGCAGACACTACAATAATAAGGATGGTATGTTGGAAGCGAGTATGGGAATTTGAGACAAAAAAATCAGAGCCAGTTCCGATAAGGTGAGTGTAAAGGGGGTAAATTCTACGCCTTACGCATTCTTAAATCTCTAACTAAGTTTAAGTTTAAGAAAAGTCTGAATGGCTTCTCATACGTATGAGTTCGCAACCGGACTAGCTAGTGAGGGATCCCAGTGTCAGTCAAGTATTTATGTTGAGATTTGAGATTTAAGAATGGAGAGTAACAGTTACTCCCATACCGTTTTAAGAGTTGAGATTTTTAAGAAAGGAAGTACAAACAACTTCCCTTAGTTTGAGTTTAAGTGTTCGAGAAGAAGTGCAAAATTATTAGAAAGTTAAAAGCGTAAGGGCGTAGACTGACCCCATCTCACTCACCAGTTTGAAGAACTAGAGGAAGAGCTAGAGGAGCATTTAGTGAGCAGCGAGTTCGAGTGAAGCTAGCTAGAGGAGGACGGTACGAGCGTCACAGAGGATGTCTAGTCGGAGTTTTTCACACGAGCAGCAACACTTGAGACTAGTTAGTTATTACGTTTTATGATTATGAGTATAGACTCGAGATCAGATTGAGATTTTAAAGTTTGAGTTTAATTTGCCCGCATGTTAGGGTTTTGCTCTGAGCTACAAGTGTGTGTGTTTTCAGTATTTTATTTATGAAAATTTTTCCCGGTGCAATTTATGATTTGAGTATTTTATTTATCAAGGGCATTTTAGTAAAACTATTACCCGGCCGGGTTAGGGTGTTATAACAGGTCAATCGGGTGCGGGTCAATCGGGTTGCGGGTCGGGCGGTTTGGATTACGGGTTTTACCACTACAAAAAACAGGAGGTTTAGGTAAGATTTTCGCTGCCAAAGCCAAATATAGGGCCAAAAGAATCGAAGATAAGAGGGTAATAGAGATGTAATCGTGCAAAATCTAGAGATATAACGGAAAATATATTAAAAAGATTTATGTCTATCTTGACTCTTGAGGAAAGAAAATCATATCAAAAAATCTATTTTACTGCCAAAGCCAAATATACGGCTGCCAATGCCATTAACGGGAAAATGGAACATGTTTACATGTGAAAGTTCAAAATTTAGGCTGAAAAGGGCCGCCAATACTTTTTGGCTAAAAGGCCCGCCACTCCAAGAGCCAAAAATGAGATTAGTGATTACCAATGGTTCCACTTTTAAATATAGGGTTCGTTTGGATGTATCAATCTAGAAATGAGTCAATTTGATTAATTGTCTCGTTTTATAAACGAGGCAACTAAAACGAGCCAATTCGAATTACTTGCCCCCACCCCTAGCAAATTGAAATTGACTCAAAACGGATCAATTCAAAATACCTCAGGCAAATTGATCCATCCAAATTTTTTGCAGGCAAACGAGGCAATTTGGAAAAAAATGTTGTGAGTTCAATTGTAACTTTACTCGATAACATATAATCTAAACTCTAAATAGTCTATACCCTGGCAAAGGATGTACTTTTTATTCCAATTTCATCAGTTGCATCAGAGTCTTCTTTTAGTTTGGGAGGAAGAATATTAACAAAATGGAGAACTTCGATTTTGTCTGATACTCTTGAAGCTGTTGTGACAACTCGTAATTGGATACGAGGATACCAAATGGGTAAGAAAAAACAAATTGTTATAATTGTACTGAACAAACTATTCTCTTTTCCTTATTATTTTCTTTTCACTGATTAATTGTACAGATGACGATGATGAAGATACGAGGGATGATGGAGAAGAAGTAAAGCTTCTAGAGTGATCGTCATTTGGAATGTCAATTTGTTTTTTGGACATGTTTTATTGATATTTGAGGTCTTAAGACAATATGAACTATTATGAGTCATGTATTCTTGTTATGATCAGACTTTTGTGAACTATTATTAGTCTTTTTTATGATAGGACCATGATATTTGGATTTTAAATCTTATAATTATCTTATTATGCTAAAGTATTATTTTAGAATGTTATGTGGACTATTAGGTTGATGATGTATCTAAATCAATATTTGATGATGTTATATGCGTTAATAGGTTCATGATGTATATTATTATACTAAGTTAATAATTAATGATGTAATGATCAGACTTTAGTGAACTAGGATTTCAAATGTCAACTTATAGTTTATGTTCATCGAATTCCTTCTATTATAGTCGGGCTGCGAGCTGGTCGGATTACGGGTTCAGGTTAGTCGGGCTGCGGGTCGGTCAGGTTGCGGGTTGGTTGGGTTGCGAATCGATCGGATTGCGGGTTGGTTGGGTTGCGGGTCGGGCAGGTTACGGGTCATTGACTTTTAGTCAAATCGGGTTCATTTCACAATGTGTTTTAGGGTTAATAACATTTTATACCCCTCTACTATCACAAGTTAACAAACACGTCCCTCTACTATTCTTTTGGACTTTCGTACCCCTTTATTATTGCAACGTAACAAAGTTACCATTCCGTCACTATTTCCATTAGTTTACCGTTAAATGACATGTAAAAAGACTACATTGCCCCTCTATTTAACTTATAATTTTTTATTTTTGTTTCCCCTTTCTGTGGAGGAGGAATCCGATCCAAGTTTTTTGTCTCCGACTCTTCGTATACCTTCACCACAGTCCCCCTTCATTTTCACTTTCGGCAATGTCGATGCCAAGCTTTTCCTCTGGCATCCAGTAGGCGTTCGATGAGTGTCAATGGCGAGCTTCTTTCTTCCCCTCTACTCTGCCATCACCAGCCGTCGCAGCTCTTCCATTCTGGCAGCGACAAGTCTTCTTCTCTGTCGCGCCCCTTGCTCTCTCCTTCACTCAACTCTTCTCCGGCACTAAGACCCAAGTGAGAGAATTTATAATTTTACATACAAGAACTTAAGGGTTTCGCAACACATTGGAGGATGATGTGAAGGGGAAAGAAACCCGGAGCCGATCAGAACCGCAACAAACCAAACCCTCTCTCGAATCCATTGAAAAATAAATAAATTCCTCTGTTTTTTTCCTTCTCTCTCTCTACTGGCTGTCGGTGGAGCAGTTGGCGGCTGAGTTGATGAAGATAAAGGTTACGACATCAGCGTGTTGGTGAGGAGTGGGCTTCCTCCTCAATAGAAATTGGGGAAAGAAATCAAAGGGAATTGGGATTCCTCATCGTTAGAAATTAGGGAAAGACATAAAATAATAAATTAAAGAGTTAAATAACTAGTTATGTTTCTATGCTGAAAATATAGGGTTATAGATATAATATATCCTTCTATTATGTCATTTTATCAAACATGCTCCTTTACTATTTTTTACATCAAACATACCCTTATACTTTGAAAAATTTATCAAATATGTCATTCTGTTAAAATTTTCATCCAAAAACCGTTAACCATGGCCGAACTTTGGTTTGGGCGACACAAATGTATAAAATATTCATAATAATTTTGCTTTAGAATTTTTGGGGTTCTTTTGTATAGCCAAATAATTCTAATAATTTCACTATGATAAGACCAAATAAATAAAACAGGGGACAACCTAACATTTTCCCTCTCATTTGTCGATGGCAGGTCGTCAAAATCTCAGTTCAACCATGATTGGCAATTTTTTCAATGGAAATTTTAACAAAAGGGCATGTTTGATAACTTTTCCAAAGTTCAAGGACATGTTTGATGTAAAAATTAATAGAGCGGCATGTTTGATAAAACTACATAGTAGAGGGGCATATTATACCCATAACCCCAAAATATAATAATTATATTATAAGTAAAATAGAGGGTAATATAGTCATATCACTTATCATTTTAACGGTAAACTAAAGGAAATAGTGACAGAAGGGTACGTTTGTTACGTTGCAATAATCAATGGGTATGAAAGTGCAAAAAAATAGTAGAGGGGCATTAAAGTCTATTAACCCTTTTTTATGTGTCAATAAATTTGTAGACCCAGACAAGATAAACCTTATTATACATTATAATTCTTCATATAAATAAAATAGTTTAAAGAATGAACAAACTCTATACTCACGTTGTAGGTTGAATGGATTTTGACTTTCTCATTTACAATAACTAGTACATTTATAATATCATGATGTTTGAAATAATTTCAGTATTGTTTATAAGTATACTCATTATTTGTCCCATCACTGGAAGTAAGTTGAAATATAAGATTATATCTAGTATTCAAAGTTGAGTACTTGGTGTATTGATTGAGTGTCTTTTAAGTTGATGGTAGAAATGATGATACACTTATTCATGCAAATGTTTATAGTAGTGGATTTAGAAAAAATCATTTATGTTAAAATATCTACATATAGTATGAGGCAATCATACCCATTGCCACCAATTGCAGCACCCATGATCCAAATGGTCATATATATTTTCAATACTCATTACTATTTTTTCCTGAAATCATAAATCTTTTTTATAAAATTATATTTTCACAACAAGTAATTATATGTTTGTAGAATGAAGTATTTTATTTAATTAGAAATTCAAAGAAATACTTAAAAAATTAAGATTTGGTCATTATAATAGCCTTCAACCATTCTCATATGCCAATGTAAGCTATTATCAACCACAAATTTGTTTGGAGATATATATTTGTTACTAATGTATTAGTATTTGATAATTTATATATTTTTAATTATTACATTTAGATTGATTTTTTAACATATAGTTATAACAAAGTAAGTGGTAAATTTTAGCTTTTCATATTACCAATTGGTCAATTCCTTGAAGTTTGTAATGACTATTAAGCTCGATGATTAGTTTGGTGTGATTGTTATTTTCATAGAGAATTGTGGGATCCCTGTGAGTTTGTGAGTTTCATTATATCTCCAACAGTCCAACTTTGGCGACGACCATTTTTAGTGAGAAGGAGTCGAGATTGGAGTGGTTGCAGGCCAATATGGAGGTTATTTGAAAGTTATTTTTAGTGGTCTACATCATTATCGTTTTACTCTCTCCCATAACGGAATGAAAACTTTTGAATTATGCTCTAAAAATATGTTCCATAAGCAAGAAATACAGTAATGCTTGACAGATTAATCAATTCATCGCTTGGTGGAGTCATTGAATTGGTAGTGCTCCCGTTAATGCAACGACATGATAAAAATATATCTTTGAAAGTACCTGTAAGATAAATAGATGAGCTATTATTAGTGTGAGTACCTCATTTAGTTCAAATACAATATTTTATATGCCTGATGTTTTATTCCTTAAATGTTTGAACTTTACTTGAGGCTAGATTTGATGAATCCGTTTATGGTAATTGCTTAGAATTTTCTTATGAACTTATATATCTATTGAAACTTAAATTATTGTTGTTTGTGAGAGACCGCTAATGAACGTTCCATAAAAACTTGGGCATTGATAGATTGGTTAATGTGCTTGGCTAATTTGGCACATGGAATTGGCTGCACACATTTAGTTAGTTGTGATACCAAGTAAACAAGGTAGTGGTTGTGTTGTTCTTAGTTGTCACACGAGTTCATACAAATGAACTTAAAGGATAACTTTAGTATATGTGGCAATTGAATAGTTTAATGAGATAGAGTTTTACATACAAATATAAGTGGGGAGCTAGGAATGGGTTTAGAGGCTGCATTAGGTGAAATTTGAGTTTGTTTATTCATGTGATGAGAGTTAGCATTGACAAAATTTTCTTTGTACCAATGTTTTAGATAGTCATTAATTGAAATTTTTCGAATGCGTTAACTATCATATTTTCCATCAAAGGATAATAATTTTCTTTTATAGTGAAGATTTACTATGTATCATAAGAAGCAACTCTCACGTTGTCATTTGTGGACTTTTTTTATATAGTCAACACTTTGTTTGTAATCATATGTGTTATTATTAGTTGCATTTTCTTTGCTAGTCATTTGATATTTGATATTTCTCATGTTGCAATGCTAAAAAGTAGTTTGAGTATTGTGTAGATAATTTATGGCAAAATATAAAACAAAACACGCATTATCAGTGTAAATGACACATAAAAATTATATAATCATCAAACTCTCCCAATCAACAGGTCGGCATTGTGCTAGTATATTTAAAGAAGATTTAATCGTTTCAGGCTGCTTCTGCCGTTTCAGGCCACTAAACAGGACTAGGTGGCTCTCATAATCCGAATTTGCCTCCGTTTCAGTCATCGTTTTCGCCCCTCGCATGAAGAATTATGAGAAGTACAGCAAATTTGACAAAATCTGGCATGAGATTTCACACCAGAAAAGAACATCTGCATCCATCCACATCTGTACGAGGATTAGACTTCCCATTCTCACCCTACCTTAAAAAACCCAAAACCCATCAGCTCAAAAGTAGCATCCAAGAATAAACTACCAGTAAAACCTAACAATGAGTTGCATCCAAGATCAAGCCATGTTTGTAAGATCTCCCTTGAATTCCTCCTCCATCCAAACAGGGGGGCTATCCACCATTAAGAAGGGCCTTAAGCTTGTCTCTTGGTGATGGACTTACAATACACTTCAGAAAACTTGGCCGAATATTGAGCTATTTACCAGATGCACTTACAAAATTGAACAACCTCGATCTTACTATCTTGATTCATCTTGTCCATTACTCGTTTGAACGAGCCTCTGAAATCTAGCAGATAACATTTCATAAGACTGAGCCTGTGATTGGTTGACTTTTCCAATTGCATGCTTCAAATGCCGCATTGTTACTTCCAAGGCATCAATGTTTTCCTGGTAGTAAACAAAGTTCTCAGAAACAGGAAAAAAGTGAAGAACATGCAAACAAGTTATATGAAAAAGAACAGGAGTTAAAGAAAGAACCGCAAGCGCTGCAATTGCTGCTTCGTGGCATATAAATGATATATCAGCTCCTGTGTAACCATGTGTTAGACTAGCTAGTTGTTTCATATTGATGTCTGAACTGCAAGGATGTTTCCTTAGATGGATAGAAAATATGGCTTCCCTATCTGTCTCATTTGGAGGTCCCACGTATAGCAATCGATCAAAGCGTCCTGTTGCATGCATGCCAACATAATAAGGAAAAGAAGTACGATGTGAATCAAACAAATGTAATTTACACAAAGAGAGACGAATTCGGAGTACCTGGCCTTAAAAGGGCAGGATCGATCTTGTCTGGACGGTTTGTGGCTGCAATAACCGTAACATTCACCCTTTGGTGCAAACCTAAAACAAATACAAAATCTGTCTGTTCAGAGAAGGCAGAAGCCTCAACACGATGATTATGTGTTTGTTTTGGCTAAAAAATAAACAACTTCAAAGAAGTTGGCTTAAACAACAGCTTTTTCAATCCAACTTGTCAAGACTACTTAGCCGGAGTTCCACGAATTGTTACTGTTTAGTAGTATTTCCCATTGAATCTAGTTCCTACACAATTGGGTCTGATCAATATCTGAACACTTTCCCTTCCCATTACCTCTCGTAGTCAGTATCTACTACCAGCCATCTCAGTAAGACTAAAATTTACATCAGGCTTGCCCATCCTACAAAAATTTGAGCTCTGCATCTATTGCATGCAAGTCAGACTGACACATTTTTTCTTCACCGGTGCAAAAACTTGGGAAAAAGTCACCTTCAGGGCTAGATTACTCACCATCCAATTCACCCAGAAGTTGAGCCATGACGCGGTCAGATACTGAAACTCCATCGCTCTCCTTCCCACGGATGACAGCAAGAGCATCAATCTCGTCGAAGAAAATAATTGATGGGGCATTTGCCCTGGCCTTTGCAAAAAGGGACTTTACAGCCTTTTCAGATTCACCAACCCATTTGCTGAAAAGTTCTGGACCCTTGACAGCAAAGAAATTCAATCCAGCCTCAGATGCTACTGCACGTGCCATGAGGGTTTTACTACAACCAGGAGGGCCAAACATCAAAATTCCACTTGGGGGACGTATGCCAATGCGTTGGAACGCATCCTGATGTTTTTGAGGCCATTCAACTGCCTCTATTAGTTGAGCTTTCACTTCTCTCTGGCCACCAATATCTTCCCATTTAACTTTTGGTACCTCTAGTATTACCTACAAGTACATACAACAGGTTCAGTAAATGAAGAACTTGGATAAACTACACATGCTGTTATGCTGAACTAAGCATACCTCTCGCATGGCACTAGGCCTCACTTTCGTCCTGGCCTTTTCAAAATCTTCAAACACAACTTTTAATAACTTTTCTTCAACTGGAAACACGTTGTCACGATCATTACTTATACGATCATCAATATTATCGGCCACTGATGAGAAAGCAGCACTTAAGCTAGAAGATGCTGGAACTTGTGAGGAAACAGGTACATTAGAGACACTCTGAGATCCAGAATCTGCACAAGATGATGTGTCGCAATGCGAGTTGTTGCCAGATTTGTCTACTAGTTTGGAATAACGCCTAAGACATACCAAGGCGGCTTCATTACAGAGTGCAGCTAAATCAGCACCTACAAAGCCATGCGTGGTCATGGCAAGATCTTTGGCTTGCAAATCTGAAATTAAATGTTCCATTTCACCAAGAATAGTCTGGAGTATCTCTAATCGCTGTTGAGCTGATGGAACACCTGCATGCAAAAAGGAGATAGTTAAAACATGAAAGTTCTGAAGTTTCAAAAGAAAGAAGGACAAACCATATGATAATGACCTATTTCAATCTCTCTATCAAGTCTTCCAGGCCGTCTCAGAGCAGGGTCAATGTTATCAGGCCTATTTGTTGCAGCAACAATGAGCACGCCATCAGTCCTACTAATACCATCCATCAAATTCAATAGTGTGGCTACCATTCTTTGAGATAGCTCATCACCTCCTTCTTTGCGTGCAGGTGCAATGGCATCCAACTCATCAATGAACACCTACAAAAGGAATACATATTTTAAAAGACCCATTGAACCACCTAAACCCTATTCATGCAAAGGAAGGACTCATTCCTGAAAAATATTTAAGTGTACATCATTTTACTTATACGATATAGAAGAATTCAATGGTTATACATGAACCCTCAGGTGGTAGAGAAAGTAATGATTCTTTTGTGTGTGTGTGTGTGTGTGTGTGTGTGTGTGGGGGGGGGGGGGGGGGGGGGGGGGGGGGGGGGGGGGAATTTACGAAGAAACATATCTTACCATAGCAGGTACAGCTTGGCTTGCAGAATCAAACACTTCACGCATTGCTTGCTCACTCTCTCCGTGATATTGACTAATTATCTCGGGTCCATTGACAGTGAAAATTTTTACAGCTGCATCATGGGCGCATAGTCGAGCCAAAGAGGTCTTTCCAGTGCCAGGTGGGCCATGAAGAAGCACTCCCTTCATAGCTCGTAAACCAAGACTGCAAGAATTGTATCAACAACAAAAACAGGAAAGACTAGTATATATGATATAGCTATATAATGCTGCCTTGATAAATAAAACTGGAAAACTCTATAACTAACAACAGATATGACAAATCTCAAACTTCATTATCAATTAACAAAACGCTCAGAAATTGAGTGCAATCCAGATTTCAGAAACTAATTAGGTAGAGTGATGCAGGACCTCTGTAGTACAAATAGATCTTTTGCTTAAGTTCAAAACCGGACAAAAAACAATATGCAAACAGACACTGCAAACCAGACTCTTCTGATGAGGGTCACTAGATACCAAGCTAAGATCGTAGCACCGTGGTAGAATTATCGCAGACTAGAAAATTGCATCCCACATTTCACAAATTTGCATACAATTACTGCAGATGCTTAAATTTACTTTATATGCAGCAGACTGCAAAATAGCTATTTCACAAAGTTTGATCCTAAATCAACCACCAAACTTACACTACAACAAACTTGAAGCTGACATCTTACTCTTTCTCATTCCATAAGAACTAAAGGAGACATAAGATAAATAGTAAGAGATGGCAGATACAATTATAACAGTGTAGGACAGCGAGGGTTTATCTCAAATTAACAATGCAGCATGTAAAGCTGCTCAAATAACAATGTTTTCATAAACATTGACAGGCGAACCATTATAAAAAAAAATGTAACTTCAATCGACAGGCGAAACTCCAACAGATTTTATTTGTAATCAGAACATTGACCAGCAGAACCTAACTCAAAACTACATACCTTGATAAAGTGTTGTCCATTGAAAATGTAATTATCTGCCTCAAAACAGCATATTCTTCACATAGGCCACCTAATTTGCGCACATCATGTCTAATGCTTTTCCCAGTCTCACTTCCAATTTGCATAGATGGCAACATCTTTTCCTTCGGGGTTTCATCTGCTGAGTTTTCTGGCTGACAAAAGTACACTTGTGTTTCATGATTCAAGATCATGGCATCATTCCCAAGGTTTACCAATTTCGGTTTTTGGAAGTAAATACTGTTCCTTTCGCCTATCATGGCTTGGCCATCATCATTAGCTGTAAATTTGCTATAATTCGTCACACGGAAAATGACGAGCTCCGACATCACTGGGATGGCAACAAGGTTCCCACAAATCAAAATACGAGAGCATAACCATGAAGCAGCAGACACCTGCAGAAGCTTTTTTGCATTTTCATCCTTAAGTACCTCGCTAATTTCAAATGAATCCGCAAATGTACCCTGGGGATATGATAAACTAAACCCTGCTTCTTCAGGTTTTGGTGAAGCTACATTACCAGAAGAACTAGGAGATCTGTGCTTTGTTTGACACGATGGTGTCCTAGGAGATGAAAGTACACCATTTGCAGATGAATCATGTGGTTTTCCTCCGCTTATCATTTGCACTCTATCCTTCAAAGGGGCTAGGTCCAAGTACAACTCATTGCAATGGCTAATACATAGTTTGGCTCTATCATCTCGTTTATTAATTTGATTCATCTGACTAGTATGGTCTATAGGATAAATATAAGCAACCGTGTCAGAAACAGGACAACCCATTGTGTACCACAGATCTGTGGACAACCGCACTCCAGTCTTTACGACCTGCAGAAAGATTAGTTGTCACTCCAGTGAGCCAATGATGCCACTTAAACCACAGTCGATGAGCATAATGCAAATATTTGGTTTGCCGAGAAATCTAACTGCTGTTGTAACGGCGAAATGGAAAATCAGTCAAACCTTGCACGAGGGAAAAACAGTAGCAAGTGCAAAGTAGTTTCCAGCTGCATAAGTCAGTTCATCCATCGAGTCCAGGCCATGTTGTGTATTGGATTCACTCGATATTTCTCTGAGAGGAAAAGCATTACTTGCTGAAGCAGCAACTGAGACCTGCAGTAGAATTAACATTAGAAATCCAGCAATAGAACATGATAAAGACACTAAAGCAATAAACTTGTACAACTACATCAAAGAGAAACGCAAACTAGACGATAGTGATCTACCGAGACAACAGAGCCAGGGAGCATAGAGGAAGCAACCATGGAAGACTCCGAGAGCCAGATTTTACCACCTCTAGAATCAGGCACTACATCGGTAATTCGGCCAACCAAAGCAGATTTGTCAATCAAATGGGGGAATCTGCTCGATGCTTCTCCCAAAGAGAAGGATACATCTTCCTCATCAAGTTGAGAACTCAGAGATGGTGTCAAAGACGGTGTCCGAGGCGAAGATGCAGAAAAATCCGAATTCGACAGCCTAGACTGTCCTTTGGACTGTTGCTTCTTAGTCTTTGAAGGCATTTATTCTTTCTCGCTCCTTAAAAAAACCAGCCTAGACAGAGGAAGCACCTGCAAATCATCAACAGTAAGGGTTTCGCTGAAGCACTAATCATTCAGGACAAATGACCTCAGAGATACAGAATTCTTGGCCAATAGCGACTAAGGAAAGACTGCCTGTTGATTTCTCTCAATTACAATATGGAGGGTACTATATATTCTCTAAACATGCAGAACGAGATCCAGCAGGAAACACTTAACCCAGAGATGAGAAATTCAGCAGAAGCAGACAGCTGAGGAAAAAAAAAAAAAGTGAAAATAGGACTTACTTGACGATGAAGAGGAGCTTCCTTATTTTATCTATTCCAGCCAGATAAGAGAGAAGGGAGAAGGCGCCGGACGAGAGGGAGACGGCAAGGGTGACTTCTGCTTCAACCGATGGTCGGCTTTGGAGGGAGAAGGAAGCGCGAGGGTTTTGTTCGCCAAATCCCGAATTGCAGAACTTAAAAATTTGAATACCTAATAAACCCCTAAAACCGGGAACGGAACCTTATGGTGAGTAACCATAAGTAACCAGCCCACATCAGCATGACATGAGCATCCTCTCTCTCCTGGAAAGCCTTTAATTTTCCCCTCTTTAATCTTTGACGGACGATTTCTCACTCATTTTAAGTCGAAATTTAATTTTTTTGCACAGTTAGATCAGATTAATTCTGCTCTTCAAAATAATATCCACTTTAATATATTTTTCGAACAAAAAAAATTGAGCCATTTTTTACCAGTCTATACCATATGGTATTGACTGGTATTGAAATAAAAGCATACCTATGGTTTGAAAAACATATCATGGTGGTATGAACAAACCAAGACTGTAGGATGGTTGAATGCATGATAGTAGAAGTATATTAATTGTCATTTACGACTTTTAACATTGTATACCATACAATACCACCCCGTACCAGGGTGGTATTGTATGGTATTGTGTGGTATTTTTTTGTCCTGTAATTTGTTCACTCAGAAATTTGTAGATCCAATAGATCATGATGAACTCGTCCTTTCTGTGCAAACGTTTTCAAAAACGAATTAAAAACGAAGAAGATACCATACAATACCACCCCGTACCAGGGTGGTATTGTATGGTATTGTGTGGTATTTTTTGGTCCTGTAATTTGTTCACCCAGAAATTTGTAGATCCAATAGATCATGATGAACTCGTCCCTTTTGTGCAAACTTTTTCAAAAACGAATTAAAAACGAAGAAGATACCATATGGTATGCAGTTGGTACCGAGAGGCCAGAATTTTTTTTTTTCTAAAAAAATATTGAAAATTATTCTCATTTGGTAGAGCACGATGAACTCGTTCCATATGTGCAAAAAAAATTAAAATCCGAGTTAAAACGTAAAAGATATGAGCCGATTAAGAAAGCTAGGAAACATAAAAATGGTCCTTAATTTTCCATTCTTAGATCTGGATTTTCTAAATGAAGGGTCCAGATTTGGTTATTGATGGATGCATAACCCATGGTTATGCATCCCTATCTTGAGCCCCTAAAACCTACGGCTTCCCTCTTTTTTATAGAAAAAATCAATCTGAATGTTATTACTCGTCGTAATATCTATCTATCTAAACTGACAATTCAAAATTAACTTCTTGCCACATAAGTACTTAGAGAATTCACAAATTGTCAATGTGGACAACTTTTTTTGCAAACAAAAAATTTATTATTGATCTATTTATGAAGCTATCTCTCTTCTTTTAATATTTCTACTCATTTTTACTAAATTTTATAATAAATTACATTTTTATGGGCTTTTAATATTTCTACTCATTTTTACTAAATTTTATAATAAATTACATTTTTATGGGAATGTAAACAAAGACACAAAAGTATAATATTTTTTTCCATTAAAAAAATATAAAGATGGAAATAGAGGGTGACTATATCGAATTTTTTTAAATAAAAAGTATATGATTAAATCTTATCAAGTAATTTTTCTACTCATTTTCACAAAAAATTAATAATAAGTTACATTTTGACAAAAATTTAAAAAAGTACACATATATAATAATATTTGTATCAATTAAACAAAATATTACAATAAAAACATTTAAAACAAATGATTAAAAAAGTACACATATATAATACTATTTGTATCAATTAAACAAAATATTACAATAGAAACATAAAAAACAAATGATTAAAAAAGTACACATATATAATAATATTTTTAACAATAAACTTTGAAAATGAAATATATGTATTTAGATTTTTTGTATTAACAACTCTCTTATTTCTAATGTATTTTTTTTTCAAATTATTTCTAATATATATTTCTATCAAATAAAAAAAGTCTTATATAGCAAAAGGTCTAAATATAAACTTGACTAAGCAATAATAGTTCTTTCTTTAAAAAAACTTCTTATTCATCATGATTAAGTGAAAACATATATTCATGTTCTACCTTTAGTTTCTCAAATTAAGAGGAATCAGGTATGCAATACTTTATAATTTGTCCTAGGGTTCATATTAAAATATTCACTCTAGATCATATTAATTGAACAATCTCTATTGAGGTCATAAGTTGAATGCTAAGTAATTTCTTTTCAGATTTGGAGTTATTGTCGAACATTATTACATCAAAAATTTCAAAATGACTTAAGTATGATTTTTGACAAGTTTTGACTTCATACCTAGGATGAGATACAACATCACTTAAAAAACAACACGTGTGAAGATTAAGAAAATCTTTGTTGAGGATATACGATAGACATCACGTTTCATCAACCACTAACCTTAGCATTGATCAAATAAGGGTTGAAAAAATGTATTTAATAGTTGATGTCTTGGTAGACAAATCTAAATTCGAGGATTGAGGCAATAAATAAACATAAATGTGTTAGTTGAGATATGTAAACAAAAAAAATTTGTAGCTACAAGAATCTAAATTGAGGTATTGTGTTAAAATAAAGAATCTTTAATAAGGATGAGTTTAGTAAGGCAATTGTAAGAAAACATTGGGGTCGTTTGCTTCGTAGATTTGAAAGCTAAAGGTTTTAATAAAACTTGGATTTTGTAAGAGCATGGATATATGAGGGTTTTTGGTTCATTATGGGTTTTAAAATACCATATTTCGTTTCATAGATTTCATGATGCATTTAGTTAATTGAATTTGAATGTTGGAAGTGAAAATGACATATATTACCCTCATTAGTATGAGAAGGGAAATGAAATATGAGGGGTAGGTTGGTCATAAATAATAAACTTCAAAGTTCATGATCAATTTCCATATAAAGAGGTGAAATTTTCAACTCCGTGGGGCCCACAAATTTGGAACCTTAAAATACATGAAACCCACATATTTGTTGCCTCTAAATACATGAAGCAAGCAATGGTTGGACAAAGTTCATGATAGCTCCAAATTCATCAAGCAAACAACCCAAGCTATATGGTTGTGAGTCTGTGACTCCATATCAAATTTTGGCAATAACAAAAAAAATTCCAATATGAAAGAATCAAAATGGAAATCTTTTAGTTTGTAACAGTAAGCAATTGTATTTAGATTGAGTTATCCTAGCCACAAAATTTCGTTTTCATATTTCATTCGATGAGCCGAGTTCAAAGGTATTAATTAGGGTTAAAAATTAAAATAAAATCGTTATACATATTCTTAGATATTAGAGTTATGTCTACAATACATTCAAGAATTCAAATGTATGTAAAATGTCACAATATTTCTATGAGTTATTACATTTTATAAAAAAAATTCCAAGAAATCATAAACAATCATTAGTTAATATTATAGGGAAAAAAAAACTAATATAGTGCCACATCAGTACATGGCTAGCTCTCACCCTTCCACGCTGGACAAAGTCTAATTGGTGTGCTTTTTTGCTTACTCTTTAAATTGTCATCATTATCAATAAAAAGTAAATTAAGTTAATAAAAATGAATGCAACATTTTGGTTTGTTCCTATTCCTTTTCCCATACAACATTGAAAATAAAACACAACATTGATAATAAAGAAACTTAATCACGCCCCACAAAAACAAATAAATCTCTCTTCTTATTTGCTTAAATTTTGAGTTTCTAGAATTTGTCTTCTCTACTTTTTTGTATATAGTATAGGAAAGGAAATGGTAAGGCATATTGAGTTTTTTTCCCTCTTTGTAGGAGAATAGGAGGTGGGAGTTACATGATGCAATGATTTGTTGGGAAAGAATTGAACAACTCTAACATATTTTTGCCTATTGACGAAGAAAAGTCCAACCTATCAGTTCTCCCTCTTCCCTTTTGATCCGCAACGGGCAATTGATCTTTCTACCTCGGAGATATCTGACTGCTAGCGGTTGACTGGCCGAGTTATAGTCTTCTTCTCATTCTTTTCTTAATTTCTTCCAGATTACGACGACTGGATAGTAAATTTCCCTTTTGGATTCAATGGTTGTATTTCTTCTTCGTTATTCAGGTAGTTGCTTTATGGTTCTCTGTTATCCTGTATACTTTGATGTAAACATGTAACATATAATTCAAAGGGTTTGTTGCTTGGACTTGGAACATCTCTCTTTTGGTTGAATAATTGATCGTTTTCCTTGGAGGCCTATTGCAACTCGATTCCTTGGATGTTAAAATGAAAAGTAGAGTTGTGAGGGCTGTTCATTATGTTTATTATGTTTATGAGTGACATGCTACTAGCTAGCTATATGACGATGATCTGATCAAGTAAATAGTATGCAACAGGGGGTTATAAGTAGGAGGAAACATATTTGGGGTTTTATAAAGGGCGTGAAGAAGAAATAAAATGGTAGTAAATGTCGATGTTTTTTCCAATTTATAGACATTTGTAATGACATTGGTTTGTGTTCCTTAGCGTGAATTTTGCCTAATTGAATCCCTAACTAAAGCTTGATTTTGGCCTGAAAACAACTACTATTTGGATTGATGTTTCCGATTCACAATGGGGACTTTGCAAGATATAATGACTTGAATTTTATTGAAGTATACAACTTTTACTATTCATCTAT